AGTAAATGTAAATTCTTCTTTCTATTCTTTGCTAAATTCACTTCTGTTCCTTCAGAACTTCRTATTAGAATAATCGCCTATATTCTTAAAAAATTGCTGAAAATTAAAATTGAAATGAGTGATTTAACCAGGCTTCAGAGTTCTCCCTCTTTTAAATTAGCTCACATAAATGCAGCCTCATGAAATTCAGCCACAATGAACATCTGCAGTTGGCTTAATATTTCTATCTATACAGCTCGGATGGCATTCAAATTTATTAGTACATGTCAGGATTTAAAAAAAAAAAATAAATAAATGAAGCAACAATGCTATCCAGATTATTCTTTGGCTTTGAGGAAAATACACCAAAATGCAAATTTTCAGTTAGATGGGATATAACAGTCTGAGCCGGAAAACAAAGGGATATGCTTTGGCTCCCATGYCTGCTCCACTAATGTGAACCAAGGCTAATAGTCAATCTTATCATAGCAATTCCATTTTATAAATCCACAGAAAGCGTTCTTTTATTCTGCTAGATAATGGTTCAGCGGTTCTGAGTTTTAATCCTTAAAGGGATGGGGCTGAATCTTTAAGACCTTTCAAAAGACAAGTTTGCTCCAGGTCTCAGGTGACAGCAGAATCCCCTCCTGCCCCCTCCCCAGGTTTAATTTATTTAGCTCATGTCAGAATCCTTCCAGCTCTGTCTATAACAATTTCCACAGATGATAAATGTGAGCTGGTTACATATAGGCTCAGTTTTGCTTCAAATCATGAAGGCTAAAACCGTATTTATTTTAGCCTTTAGCATCCTTAAATTCTTAGAAATTACATTACAAAGCTTTTATTTTACAGCACTGAATCTGAATCAGGGCAAAAGATATAAATGTATCTTGCTCCTCTGTGATGTGGTATTCCAGAAGYTGGGCATCCTAATCCATCCCTCATCCTCCTGAAATCCCCAGGCCAGGCAGCCCCTGGGGAATGCTGGGGCTGGAGCCAAGCACATCCAGCTTTATCTCGGGATTTCAACATGAAAGGGAGAAAACAGCAAAAAGGGAGCAGTTTTATAATTGTAACTAAAAGTGATCACGGTAAGACCTCAGTATTTCATTTTAATCTAACTCCTTTGAGCCAGAAAACTGAAGGAGGCCAGGAAAGTTTGTAAATCAGGGACAGTAAAAGAGATGTGAGGATAGTTTGTGTAGCATTGCACTCAAATACACACACACGATGTAATTGCCTGTTTTATTTAGTGGAATCACTTTTGTAGATTAGAAATATTTCCAATTCCCGTTTACTCCAATGCAAGCCTCCACCATCGACAGGCATAACGCAGTTTTGTTCAACTGATTCCAAACCAAAAAAAAAAAAAAAGGAAAAAAAAAAAGAAAAAAGTACAATCTCAAAAGTTAAGTTAGAAACTAAGTTCACACATTTTCTTTGGGACCAGGAATCTGTACATAGTACAAAATATACATTTATTGAACTTTCTGTAAACACACAGTTTGAATTGTGTAAAACTGTAAATAGTGGGTGAACTACGTGGAGAATAATTTATTATATATTGTTATACATTCTACTTAAGGAAAATAGTTATGCTCTTGTATATTACTCTGTTAAATTTATAAATTCCATAATGAAGCTGTGTAATCTGCAAACATGCTTTTCAAGCTTAAATCTCTCCATTCGTAACACACATTTATACAGGTCATCAATGAAAAAAGTTACACTTTCCACAAAATAGATATAAAGAGGTCATGAATTTTCTAAAAAGACAGGCACAGCATGTCACTACAAACGAGACTCTGATGATACGGTGTGGAGTCAATTCTGTGAGAAGACAGGTGRAAACTCTCTAATTCAGCATGTTTGTACGTGGTCTTAGTAACAAGACAGATGCTAAACCCCAAAATCTCTGCTTATAAAGATTTACAAAATAGCCACTCCTGGAAGTCAAACYTCACACTTTTCAGATATCCAGCACTCCCTGGCTGGGAGAACCTCAGCTTTTGTCTYGTATCAACTCGTGGTCACGAGTAATTGAGTTTTCCGAGCAGTGAAATACCTGGCACCATTTGCCAAGAACATTTGCATAATGTTGCACTTACTCCAAAAACTGGATTCCTGGCACCAAAGAGTTAGATCTGGTTAATAAATACGATTTAACTCTTGGTGCTCAAGGTCATCAGCAAGAACAGGCTGGGAAACCCCAACTCCTGACTCCCACGGGCTGCAGGACCTGCAGATTGTGGGGTAACACTGGGAAYCTGGTGCACAATGCCCAGTTTCCAGTTTAAGAGGCTGAAAATTCCAAATGGCAGCAGACTTTTCAGYCTGGCATCATTCAGCAAGAATAAAAAGTTCCCCCATAAACAGTCAAAGATACTTTCATAGAATAGTTCATAGAACAGTCTGGGTGGAAGAGCCTTAAAGACCATCTAGTTCCAACCTTTCAGGAGACCATCACTGGACATGGATAATTCTGTGTAAATTCAGCACATTTATTCCTACATTTTCAGGGTGTCATTGTTTTTCCACCCAATTTCATTTATTTACAGCTAAAAACACTGCATCAAAGATCAACCCTCTTAAACTGTGCTCYTCTGAGGCCTTAAAAGTAAAAAAATTCTTAGACATTTGAAGAATTAAGAAATTATCGCCGACTAATCCAACATTCTGCTTTAACAAAGAATTTGTTTCCTTTGGCTTTGAAAAGCTTTTTCARAACCTAAACTGAATAAAGATTACATTTGTTTTTCATTCCAGAAGTGGGACAGTTAAGGCTTCAACAACACATGTGCAAAATTTGTATGTTGTGAGCAAAAGCTCCATCAATGTCAGCAGGAYGTAAAGGTTGTGCCTGATTTTCCCAAGCCCATCTTACTCTAATTTTCCCCTGCAGTGTGAACAAAAATATTGTGTTCCAATCTACAATTCCAGCAGTGAAAATTAAATCAGCTACCCAGTATTTGCACTGCTCAGACTGACTGGAACTCAGTAAGCCAGCTGAAATGAAACTCTGGACCTTAGTCTACAGGCATTGATAAAAGAAAAGTACCTAATATTTTAGGACCTGCCTGTTTTCTCATTTTTCTTAAAGGTATTACTCAAAAAAAAATAACAACGGCAGCTCCTTCAACTCTGGAGGCCCCATCACAATACACATGGGGAGTCCTGTCCATCTGYAAAAAGCCCACGCTCCCACCAAGCTCTTCAGAGCCAACACTTCAAGGAAGCAAAAAGGAATTTCAGCTTTGCCTCAACRTTATTGAGCAAGCTGAGAAGTGCAGATGTCATGCTGCTAAAGGCAAATGGTACTGCCTGACACAGCACCCACCCTTCAGATTAATGGCTGATTACACAATAGTAAGGACCATTGGTTTTATTTTTCTCACTCTGGAAAATAAAAAAGAAAAAAGCAGGTGCCTTGTGATATTTCAAAAAGCATTTGGGCAGGAATGAGTACAAGTTACGTGTAAAAAACTAGCTAGGCATAAACCACTCTAGAAATTTGACCCGTCTTCCCACTTTACTGCAGTTTTGATGCTTTCAGATTTTCTTAATTCTATAAAAGGCATTTTTTAACGTTAAGCCCACTTTCCCAACTCTTGTGGTGCAAAAGTTAGGGGGTTTTGTGGTCTTTGCATTTAAAGCAAGCCTCTCCCAAAATGTTTTCCTAAGACATCAWTATCATTCCTGCTCCCTTAGCCTGGGAGCAAAGACTTTGGAAGAATGCATACAAGAGATGGGGAAAAGAAAGATCTGTTTTACTGCTACTCAAAAGGAACATCAAACAAAAACACAGATAAAATGAGGAATATGCACAAAGCCTAACTACAGGTCAACAACTCTGACACAAACAGGAGATTAAAGCTCCAGACTTTTTTTTTTTATATATTAAGTAAATAATAGAAATATTTGTCRTTTTTCTGGAAACAAATTGTCAGTAAGAGACAATGTAAACTCAACTTTTAACATGTCCTTCTTTTTTCCTACTTGAATGCATTTAGTGGTCCATGATACTAAAAGAGAAGCTTCAAGTTTTCCTACAGCTTCCTGATCTCCTGTGAATGTGTGCCACAGCCCAGGTGGCTGCTACCTCATTTACAAAGCAAGATTATTAGGCAAAATAAGGCCACAGAGTGCTTCAGACATGCACACCTGGGTCTGCAGAGATCTACAGACTGTGCAAGCACCCCACAGAAAAAGCTCACAAAAGATTGGATTCTCTGATCAGTATTTCAGACAGGTCTGTCAAAATTATTTAACCACAGAGTGGTACTTGTAAATTCTGCTCCTTTTTTTTTTACAGCTTATAGCAGGAACCACGTTCATTTTATGTGCTACAGCATCCTGGAAATTCGTATCTGGAGCCTCTCTTCAATCACTTAGAGTTAAAAAACCTCTCCAGCCAGATRGAGAGTTTACACCCTGAACTGGTCTATAAAGGCTCAGGTATGATCACTGCAAACACAGGTAGTGGTAGGAACAAGGAGTCCCACTCATTATCTAGGAGACATTTTCACATCTGGTGAAGCTTGGCACAGAGTAACAATTCATTTTCTGCACCAGAACATCAGGTACAGCCCTGTAGCTCTACAGTTTTGCTGTTTCTGAACCTATACAGGGTACATTAGATTTGTATCAAATAATACTGTATTTGCCTAAGGATGAGGAAAAGGGCACTTTCCTAAAGGTTAGCCCCTTTCAGACACAGCCAAGTTTAAATACCAAGGAACTTAAATACACCAAGTCATTTGTGCATAAAAGCAGTTCAAGAAGGTGCAGGTAGAGATGAAGGTGAACATCTTGGCATGATGAAATCCTGATGTACATTGAACTAAGGTAAACTGGAACAACCATATCATTAACCTAATTGTGGCAGCCGTGCTGTCTCTCCCACAGGACAGAGCTACAAACCTCTAGAGAATGCAAACACACAGGAAGTTTGTCAGCATGGAACTCATATACAAGACATTAAGACCAAAGTTTGATGATTGCAGTTTAAAGAAAGGGAACATTTCCCAAAGCAAAATGTTTGTCCTAAAGTACAGAGTGGGGAAAGATCTGCAAAGGCTTCGATACTCCYTACAAAGGCCATCATTTATCTGGGTGTGGTTTCCCAAACTGCRGCAGGAAGGGTGGGGCAATCATTCCTTTGCTCTCAGTCCTGTCTCCCCACTCTCCATCTTTCCCTAGCACCAGCACCCCACAGCTGGATTACCAGTTTACCCAGCTGAAGGGCTTTTCTTTCTCCTAACTGCACACCCATGTAAGGACAAGCTCTGGYACAATAAAAGGCAGTAGGGGCAAACTTGGAGCAATGGTTTAGTCTTGGCATAAACTGATCATGAAACCGTATCCTTAGTTCATGAACTACTAAAAATGGAATGCAATAGGAAGTCTATCCTACCCCAGTGTATAAAATCAAGGTGGGATTCTTACCAGGGAATCAGTCAAATTGAAAACTAACCCCTTATTTTATTAAATCACCTTAAGCTTCCAACTCCTGAACTGAGCAAACCAGCTCAGACATAAACCTATACAGTGACAGCACCACTTTGCAATAAATAATGTAATGGACACTGAAGTCAGYTCACTACAAGGAAATGTTGAAARGATGAGCTTTGGCACCTGCATGAACTCTCAAGGTAAGTGTGACCGTGACTGATCTGCTGCTCAGTATTGACCAGGCACCTCGCTGACACAACCTACGACTGCTGCAGKTCAGAGCAGTTTAATGCCAAGCAGATGAAATTCCTCTCTCCAATTGACTCCAGCTCAAAGTTTAAATGAATGATGGCCATGCCTCAAAGTCGTGGTGGTGCTGCCCCTGGGTGAGGTGACAGCAAGCCCAGCTGAAAGGCTCTGGCTCTGTTTCTGCCCCAGTGTGAGTACCAGGGACYCTACGGATACAAAGGATTTACAAAGCCTTGCAAACCTAGGATCCTACTCAATGTGTCACTGCATTTAGTTCATCTAACATTGGTTTTAAGCACATTTTAGAAGCCTCTGTCTTGAACATATTTCAATGCTGAATTAGTGAGAAGTATTTGGAACAGTTGTCTATAAAGCAGTTACAGGTATTCTCCCAGAACGATCAGCGAAACATTTAATCTGACTAKAACAAAACTCACAGAAACCATAGCCAGTGAAGCTGTCAAATGTAGAAGGAAAACAAAGTTGCATGGCATACGAAGCAAAGTAGCTTTACAAATGTCATTTCCTTTTAAAAACAAGCAAATCGGGACCATCCTATTTGAACATGTATTTAAAAATACATCTTTTAACATCACACAATTTTCATTTTTGTCACACAGGAATCTTTTTCCAAGAGGGAAATAAATAGCACACAATACTTCAAAATAAAAATTGCTGCCTTGCCCCTGAGGTGCTAATGTTTTTAGCATTTAAAAAAAAAAGTTTCTGGTGCAAGAAGGAGATGCACAAAGGTGCAAAAGTGCCTTTTTCTTTTCAGAGCAGTGAAAAAAGTACAGCTTGCCTCTTTTCTAGGATGCTTTATATACTTAACTCRTTTATTCTGTAATCAAAATCTGTATCTAAAATGGCAGTGTTTATGCATACATCRTAATTCAGTGCTCTGAGCTCATCAAACCGCTGAATGTAGGCGGGAGAGAGAAAGGCCTGAAACGGGCTTTCTGCCACTACCCYCAAACCTACTCACATCGCCTGTAGCAATAGCAGAATTATTTTCTTTCTAAGCTTCAGGAGACCTCGTMAGCAGAAGCTTCAAAAATCTCCTTTGTCACTGAGACAGTTTAAGTGATTATGGTTTGAAGTATGGCTTTTCACACCACAGTTTTGCTTCCGATTTTTAAAGTTTAAAACTCAAAGGTTCCACAGTCCAGTTCAAGGTTTTGCAGTTTCCAAAACTAAACTTTAGTCTCTATGAAAAAAGAAGGACAGAACTTTATCTGCCCAGTCCTAAATTAAGTTTAGCTTTTCRCACTAATACGCCATGTATTATTAAATATGCTCGTTAATTAGGTGCCTGTGAAGCTATAACTTAACATCATTATAGTTTTGCACTCTACAACAAAATTAGACATTTTAAGCATTTATTCATAGGTAGGTAAGGAACTGGTTCTTTAAGCAAAAATTGCTATAAATTTATAAATACAAATAGTGCTTATGTTTTCTTCATTCATGCTTGAACAGATTACAAACTGAATACAATGAAGTTACGTTTAAGCACCCCACATAGACAAGAGGGATAAAAGAAAAGTTTGCTGGTATATACTATACTTAGTTCCAAGACACTATAAGTTACTTTTTCACTGTTCAGTGTTCCCTAACTCTGCATTAGTTTTAAGGCTATATATACAAATATGTGTATGTCAAAGTTAGGGAAAGACAAATATAGCAAAATGCATTGTACTACATTTTCCTATCAAAAAGTAATTATACACCAAGTTCTGATTCTGTTTAACTGCAGTAAATGTTACAATCTACTTGTTTTACTGATTTTCCTTTTGGGGAATCTGCCTACTAAATGAGTAAACTACATATTAAATACAATATTCTCAACCAAAAAGACAATACAAGGYGCACAAAACAGCAGTTTTGCAAACACGACTGACTTGAAAACTTAATTTTCGTATGCTCAATGGGAGAAAGCTAAGCTTAAATCAAATTAGTTTATTATCTTATAAAATTTTAAATTAGAATTTTAAACAACGAACAGTTAAATATTGTCAACATGCTATACCTCAAATCACAAGTACTGTTTAACCACTAGTCTCTCATTCTAAGTAAGTGGGTCAATTAAAAACACACACCATAAAATGTTAAAGATTGTCAGGCTTTGACAAATGTATTTTTATCAAACAGTAGGCAAATTCAAACCAATGCACATCTTCAGTAGGGAGGGGGAAAAAAAAAAAACAACACCAAAAAGCCTGAAAAAACCCACACTTGTAAAAAATAGGGTAACGGATTAATCCCACATCATCCTCTAGCATATGGCTATGTCTTGGGCAATAATCAAAATCCTTCCCATTTTAAAAATGGGCTACCAATTAATAAAAATATTCTTCCACAAGTAAAATATCATTTACAATGGCACTGACATTTTAAAAGGCAGGAAAAAAGGAATTACACATTTATGGGTAAATGTCTTGTTTTTTAAATCAAGCTTTATTGATAAAATGGAATTCAGAGTATTTCTCTTGGAACAGCAGCAGACCCAGCCAATCAGGATTGTAAAAATGCTGCAGACTCCTACTTTATGTAGAAAGTTGCCTTCGTGCTCAGTGATTAGTAGTTTCAGGTAAGGGTTAATGAAAAAAGAGGTGCAAGGAACCAAGGCATTCTAATCCCAAGATTGGTACATGTATGAACAGGATACTATTAATAGGGCATGATTTAACTCCCACTGAACTCAAAATCACAAATCCCTTCAACTCAACATGAGAGCAGGAGTGCGTCCAAGAAAATTATATACGTTTGTTGAAGAATGTGCACTACTCCTAAGTTATTTTTCCACTGCCAAGCAAAATTCACACTCTGTAATTTCTGGTAAGTTGCCCACGAGTTCAGCTTTCATATAAACCAAAATGTTATCTTTAACAGTTTTGTGCACCTCCTGAGCACCTAGCTGGCTAGGCTGCTGCTCCTTGCAATCCAAAACCACAACWTGATTTTAAAAGGGATATATATTGTTGCATCACACAAGCCAAAACATTTCTTCTAACCTTTATAGTGATTTAAAGCGGTTCATAATTAAATATGAGCATTTTGTACAAAGACAATTGCACTTTACAAAAACAAAATCATACAACATAAATTGCTGGAGTCTGATTTACAACATGAATTTATGGTTTGAAATCACGTTTACAGAAGTCTGTTTTACAAAAAAGATCAGTTCCTGGGCTAGATGTCGTACTGCTGTAGTCACTCTCACCAACACATCATATTCCCTTCTTTAATTAAGGTTGAGGATGGATGTTAAGAAGGGTCATTGAGGTTGGGCTGCACTTTCATTTGCAGGATGAAACGTGAACTCCACAGCTAGATGAGCAGTTTTACCACATATCATCAGTTGAGGCAGAATCCTTAAAGAAAAAAGAAGGAACCCTTTAAAGTCTGGAGTGCCCATTCTTGCAGCAGTTTCTGGATAATCCAGACTGAAAAGGGTAAAGACTTAAATCATTTCAGRAGTCTGTTTTCTTTCCCCTTTCAGAAACAGCTTTTAAGAAATATCTAAACCCCGCATATCCTTAATAAATGAAACATTAGAACCACAAAATTGCAAAATATGACCAAGCGTTTTATCAGTCCTGAAAATAATGCCCTTGAAATGTTACTCAAAAGCATTTCYAGAGCTTTTTTAGCTATTTCTTGAGTAGTTAGAAGTAACACAAAATGGATACACTCAGCTGGCAGGTGCRAGAAAAGAGCAGGATGTGCCTCATGCCATGTGTTACCACCATTACCATCTTTTGTGTTCTCAGCCCTCCCTCGCTGCATGGGAAGATACAGACATCCACTGACACCCTGTTATAGCTCAGAGCTATTTTAACACTTCTAATTTAAGGTTACAAAAGTGTAGCTTAGGCAACTGAAGGAAATCGTAGTTTTGGGGGGTATTAAAACCACAAGGGGAAGAAAATRAATGTATATAATAAAAAAATAAATTGAAAGCAGAGACATGCCGTGCTCCAAATCATAACTGTATGAACACTCTACCTGGCAYTACAATCTATCTAATATCTGAGTGTCCCTAGAATTTGGTCCATTTAGGCCCACAGGCAACAGCGGATTTTGTATAACTACCACAAGTCTGAAAAACGTTTAACCAATTCCTGGTTTAACCAGTATTTAATTTTACCACGTATTTTTAATCCATTTTCCTTCATGTCAAGCCTGTTTCCTTTCCCCTTGCTTAGACTGCTCCATATTCAGCTTTCCCTGCCAGCCTCATCAGGTGGGCACACAGGTTAACCACGAGCAAGTRGAGCCACAGCTCTGCAGATGAAGCAACAGCTCAATCAGCAGCACAGGAATCSGAGCAAACTGATGAAATTGCAAACTGATGAAGGTGCAGCCACCTTTGGTTGTTTCAGCATTACCTGCTCCCTTTTCCCTAAGCAATTAAGGGCCATAAAGGGCTTTTACAAYAGCACATCGTGGTGCTTCCACAGCTACACCTCCCCTTCATTACCGAGACTGCAGGAGGTAGAAATATTACTCCTCTTCAAAAGCACTGCCTTAGTGACTCCTTGGGGAGGAAAGAGGCTAATTAAGTCTCTAGCAATGCCACACATGATAATTTCTTAGCACTGAAGTTCTGCACCCTTCATTCAAACTTGCACAGAGAATCCATAACAAACCAGAGGAACAGTTGGCACGGAGGTGTAGTAAAAAAAACACAAACTGAAATTGCCCTTTGCAAAAGTACCACCTCCAGCTTTTCCTTCAAGACCAGAAGCAGCAGAGGAGAGCAATTATATGAAAGAGCAAAATGGTTGTTTCAAGAATGAAGAATAAAAGCAGCATGAGTAAAAATGCAGGAGCTGCTTGCCAACTATTCCATATGCAAATTTCTGTATCCCAGTTGCCAACATGATCACGAAGTTTGTGTACTGTACATTTGTATAACAGCAACATACCACAGAATGTATTTTGAAGGTAAAGAATCCTCTTTCAGACACTATTTATGAATTTTTAAGCTAAAAATAGAACAAGGACTGCCAAATAAACTAGTGCACAGTTGTAAAGCCAACGCACAATCTTTATGTCTGGCTGCATTTCACTTATGTCACATCCAAGCATGTAAATAATTTCTGCTGGTGGTTAAAGGATCAGTTTAACTGCTTTATGACATACAACACTTTTGGTGACAGAATGTTGTTTCTGGTGATCAAACTGCAACTGGAATCATGTTCATGTTCACTGTTTGGCTGTTTTTCCCCCCATACAGACAGCGGGTTTATGTCACTCTCATCACTGACATGAAAAAACCCAACGAACTTAACGTAAGGTGCTTTACGCTTTAAAATGTTTATATAGTCCATTTAGTAAACAAATATACTCTTAACAGTTCTGTTTAACCTTTAGATATAGCAGTTTTCTTCTTGATATTTGGGGAAAAAATGTCTCCTATAAAGATGCAGGAAAAAAAACCCACAGCTCTTTCCACCATTTGGCAGCACTTGGAAACCCAAGCAGAACTGAAATAATGAAATTCCAGAGGACTACTGAATTAACCCTACTGGAGTTTTAAGATTATGATCAGCAGAAAGCAGCAGAAAATAATTACAAAACACAGTCCAAAGAGCACAACGATGTTATTCCTTTCTTGAGGAAAGGGGTCTTTAACAGGATTTAGCAATATCTTTCTTTACAAAACAGCTAAATGAATTGGGATGAGGAGAAAGATAAGAGAAAGGATACTTACAGCATCATCATTCCTGTAGGGGTTCAGTCTGTTATACACGGCTTCAATCACACTCCGTCTAGAGCAAAGAAAGAAAAAAAAACCACAAGATTTTAAGGCTGTGACCTCTGTTATATGCCAAAATCAAATTCCTGATTTTATTTTAAAACGCAAACTTTAGAAGATTCCAAATTCACAGAACGATGTTCACRCAAGTTAGCTCTAAGTGTCCTTAAACATTCCATGTCCTTTAAAACATTTAGGCTCAAGACAAACAAGGCTGAATATTCCTCAGAGTTCAGCAGGAGAGGAGSACAACCTGACAGTCAGGTGAGGCTGAGGTGCTGCAGCTCTTGACTTTGAAAAAGGGCAGCAGGAAACTTAGTGGACATTGAATGTCCTGGTTRCTTGTGTGCCCAAAAAACACTGCAGTAGTGCCTCATGTATTATGGTACTTCCATAGGGGAACGGTGTTGTGCTATTTCCTGGACACACAAAAATTACATTGTGAAGCACCTCTTAGTTCATATAACATCCTGAAAYGTACTTTTCACATGCAAACATGAAAAAATCAGCTCTAGAATAGTGCTATTCTACAATGACATGCCCAATACTCTCCTACCATTTTTCTCAAAAGAAAAATTTTAAATGCAAATTGAAGTTTTGTAGGTGTATTGTACCTTCAGACTGAGACAAATTCTGTCTGGTAAAAAAACCCAAAAAATTAATTCAAGCATCTTGACAGTTATCTCCCTTTAAAAAAAGTACATGCTTAGCACATTTGAGATAGCTCAAAATGAACTTTCATCTCTGGGATTCTTGACTTTTCTAATATGGATAGAAAATGGATATGAAATAGATTGATAAAATATTAATATAAAATTTGCAATCAACATGCAAATGAGCAACATGTTTTTATTTAACACAGGGTAAAAAACTGAGTTAAAAAAAACTTGAAAACTGATTTAAAAAAAAGAACCAATAGGAGACTGAAGGAAGAAGCYGCTTTTGCCTTTCCCAGTATATAAGGAAACAACTTTGGAGGGAGAGCAGGAAGGAAAGAGGGGAGTAAAAAACAGGAATTACAGATTGGACTTTAAATGCAACTTTCTTCCAGACCTCCTTCTGCAGAACCAAGTAGGATGAAGTAGCAGACTGTGATACAAAACAAACTTCAAAGAACAACCTTTAAACTGCTGATGAATGCATGCAGAGCAATCACAAAGGAGTGCAAGAGAAGAAAAAAAGCAGATGACAAGATTCGTAATCATCCTGCAACACTGAAAAGTCAGGAACTACCATGTATAAACATCATAGTCACTCTAGTGAATGATTATAGGGCATGAAAGAAGAGGCTGGATTTAAAGCAATAAAATCAAGCAATTATACACAAAGTACACTGCATATATATGGATTGGAAAATTTCCCATATCTTTCAAGAAATAGATATTTTTGATTCTACATACAAGCAGGTTTCTTGGAAAGCATTATTTTACTTCCAAGTTGGCAAACAGTGCTTTATRTTACATTAACGTCCAATTCAATCAATATTTTAATGAGTCCCTATTCAAACTGGCATCACTAAAACACAAAATCCCATAGAAGTCGTTCACTTCAGCATTTCTTCACAACCATGATGCYACTGCTAGCCAAAGAAGATTAAGAAAAATCAATTTGTATGCTACATTTCATGAGTAACTGACTCAGTCATACTTCAACACTACAGCAACCAATTCTAAACAGATGCTATTATACATTAAATTGCCATCTCTTCTTTCTTAGTCAAACAGTTACTATAGGAACATTGTTTTGTAGAARCCACTTTTATCATCTTATAATTTATTCAATTTGTAATTTATTCAATTACATGCCTAAAGTCCTCATGTCTTGGTGTAACTATACAAAGATAATAGTCTGAAAGGCTAAAAATACTCTGTATCATATGTGCCCAATCTATTTTAATACAGCACAGGCTCATGAAGAATCTTTTGAATCAAAACACACTTGGTTTGGGGTGCAAAAAAGCTAAGCACATTGTTTCCTTAAAGACTGAACATTTGAGAAGCCACAGAGCATCACCACTGAACTCTTCAAAGACAAAGCTATATAAAGCCACAAATTTAACTTCCCACTTTTTTTTTGATAGACTTCTATCTCATTTTCAGATTTGTCACGAGCAGAGGGAAACAAAAGCAAATTTTTAAGCAATTACAACACGGCTTTAGCTACAGACAAGAAAATAAAGCTGCCAAGCAAAACATTTTATGCATATCACTTCTTGTTGAAGTGTCTAACATATCTGAGTAATTAAAGTCAGTGTATTATTTTCACATGTTCAAATGCAACATCCCCCCAGAAATCCCAGTTAATTACAAAAAACAGACATTCAGGCCACCCTTAAAAACCCTTCATTCCTTCCCCGAAACTACAGTTTGACATTTAATTTTTGCARTGATTCATAGTTAACTCCATTGTTAGGTTTGTCCTTTTCATCCAGAACAACTGAGTAATAAAAATTGGAGAACAGATCATCACCTTTTGTCCTGTGCCCCTCCTCCCCTCCCTGCCCYCCCCACTTTTAAGAGTGGCCTTGCAGTTAAGATCAGATTTAAATCAAACCCCACATGTACACTGATGTGAACTCACTTGCTTGCCAACTCCCCCCCCGGCGGGAGGTTTGGGATGCTCTCAGTTGCTAACGTACGCATCACGTGGACTAAGTCTGGCACTCCTTCACCCTGCTTCTTTATGATCTCTGGGAATCAGAAGTACTTTTTTTGTAAGTGCAGTCCAAATTTAACTTCAAAAGATTGAAACACTCAAGTCTTATAAAAAGGCATCTTAACATTAAAAAAATAAAAAAAAATTAAAGTGATAGACCATTCTCAACATGGTAATTGCTAACTTTGGTTCCATAAGGAAAAACCTGTAACAGATTTGACACAGATTTACTGTTGTTAACATGCTCACTTGGTTTTAGAAATTCACAGCTWCCTAATAACAGTGGGGAAAAAATCTTTAATGGCTTTCCTGTTTTACATTAGACAGAAGATGTAATATCTTCCCACAACATGCCCAAGGCACGGGACAGATATTAGCATCAGCTTTATTGCTGCAACACATGATGAAATATTATTGCTGCCACAGAAAACATARTATTTTTAAGAAATAAAAGATTAGACGTGTCAAAAGCAATTCCCATGGCTGCATGCGTATTAACCACTATTTGTACCTCACTGCATTACAGCAACATGCAAATTTGAACAACTATTACACATAAATTAAAAGCCAGGGACATGACATCTAATTGACAGTTTCATCCTCAACTCAGAAGATATTTAAATACAGGGCAGAAACTTAAAGCAGATCCACTCCAGCTTCTGGGTGAARAGAACCTGTACTGTAGCCACAGCCACGTTTTGTCAAGACATTMATTCTTTAACYTTATTGTTAGACCTGGTTGGCTTGKTTTTTTTGGATGTTTTTCTGTGTTTGCTTTTTTCACTTTTCTCCTCAAGTCAAAAGCACACAATTTTATTTGAATTCAAGACATTTCAGACCATACCACCCCTGAAGAGTCACTCTTTAGGTAAGGGTTTTATGAAGCTTAAAGAACAAGAACATTTTTTAAATGCATTTCATTCATTTCTCCGTAAACATGAGCTCTGAGAAATTGCAAAACATCAATTATTAARACCTGGTGCTGTTCATCTTCAAGTGAATACTGCAACATGCATACAATAATGTGTACATATGTGCACATCTATACATGCATGTATGTACATGCACACTATTCYTCATGTAATAAAGCATTTACATCGTTTGAAAGTAGTTGGAATTCATCAGTACCKCATTTGAAAAAACTCAAGCATTCAGATTTTGCTCTAAATTCCAGAAGAGCATACCAAGTTTCCATTTCATAATTTGTGAGATAAAGCACATTGAAAGCTTTTAAAACCAACATGCATTCAGTCCTTTTTAGTAAAAAAAAATCTAAAAAACCAACAATCGTGAACTATTTTTTGTGTATGTAACCGTTTTTCAGGGCCATGTGCGTTTACARAAACCATCAGCTCTGTTTTGCAGTCAGGCTGTGTAAATTATTTGCAAGGTATAGTGGAAACACTGCCTAGTCCTCAACCAGCATGAAACTCCGCAGCACAAAGCTTTAAACTGTTTACTTCAAAAACCTAGATTTTAAACACGTGRCACCGCACACCAAAGACACCTCAAAAACTTGCCATTTCCTCAAAAATCTAGAGCCAAAGTTCATTTTACCATCTAACATTTAGCAAACAAATAATCTATGAATCTTAAATCTGAATAAGAAGCCAAGATCTCAGATTTGGTTTGCCAAGTTCCTTTATTGTGCAATTTTGAACATCTAGTATATGCTACATTGTGCTAGTGGCTAAAGTTCTGCTGTACAAAAATAAGGAATTTATRGTTGACCTATACTACACAGTTTCACAACCTGTAACTGCAGTACATTTAACATACAGTCTCCACTAAATGAATACATTTATAYTTTGATAAAACTATAGATACAGACTGAATGAACACTGAAGACACAACAAATGGAGTCGGTCTGCTAGCTGTGTTTAATTTATTGGAATTATTTTGTTTCAATACACCTTCGACCCTCCCAACCCAATCCTTAATTTACTTTTAAATCTGCTACACATTTTCATGGCATCAAGTACTGGAAAAATGTACTTACAATCCTAAAATAAAGGATTCAGAAATGGGAATTCCATACAAAGTTTAAGAAAAAGCCAAAACTTTGTTTTTGTGAAAATTAGGGAAGGAACATATAACAGCTGACTTAAAATTATTTATCTCTACATAGGCATAAATATTGTGGGGATTATCTGTTATGGAATGGTTTTATGTAAAAAAAAAAAAAAGAGAGAACAGAAATTAAAAAAAAAAGCTTAGACAAGTTTCTTTTTAGAGTCAACACATCAATAACATATATTAGTGCAAATAATAGCAACACGTTTTTGGAATGACTGATTACTTCTACCATGAAGTTCACATGATACTTTAGGAGTAACATCAATTTATTGCAAGTAATGGCACAAGGATGCTTCTCCACACTTGCTGCTTTTTCCATTATTTGTTGCACCAATGAATCTGGACCATAAACCCATCAGRAGAGTCTTAAGTGACATAGTAAGCAGAAAAGTTTCTACATTTTTTAAAATCTGAATCATCTCTCCTTATTCAAGATGACCATCAGTATTAAACTCTGCTCAGATTTAAAATTTTCACTACTTTTTAACAATATAAAGACTTATTCTGGGTTGAGGGGATAAAAATACAACCAGAAAAAGAATGCACATTAGTCAGCATTGACTCTCATTACTTGTTGGACTTCAYTRAGTACTGAAGTGCATAAAAATACRKAATATGTATTTTTATCAAGTTTCCRTTTTAATGAATTTTAAATTTAAATTGATATAACAGATTAGTAAGATCATTCTAAAAGTACTCTTTATATTTTTTTAGTTCCTTCAGCCAAAAATCAAGTTTAAAGTAAAGCACTGCCACTCTTATAGTATCCTAAGATAAGAGCAAGATTATTCACYGTAGTGTGAAAGTTTCAGATGCTGCAGCCGTCCTACGTTACTAGTCAATAAGGCATTATCCATTTACTTCAGAAACAATGCAATGGCACAGGAATTAAGCTAAATGTAACAAAGTTATCAACTCCTGTTCCTGAAATTCTACCTTAGTTAAGGCCTTTCAACTTTCCTCATACATAAGTCCTAAAAGGCCAAATTCTGCAAACAGCTGATACAAATCACTGCTGGGTTGAGTAGTGTTTACTACATATTCATTAATTTAAATAATATTTTTGTGCAACAACAGACAAAAGATTGAGGATAACTMTAAAAATTAAGCAAAGACCCTTAAGGGGAAGTACAATATATTTCCTCAAGTTCYTCAGACATTATCCCATTAAATTAGTATTAAAGTGCTTTATAACTACAAACAGAATCTTTCTGTCTCTATGCAATCATCACACTTTGCTCATTCCTGCAATTTCCTATTTGTATAAATGCAAAGTACCAGCAGCCAAATTCTTTGTATGTACCATAATCACATGCAGGTCCAGTGTTTAGGCTCTTCCTTTATAAAATAAAGCAACTGTACAAAAATGCCAGCTTTCCTCACCSTAATATTCCTGGGGTACAATGAGGCCAGCTAAAGATGCAGCCTTGGCTTCATCATATTTTCATATTCTAGCTCATGGGTTTGTCTGAACTCAGACAAAATATCTAAGATAAGAAGGCAGCACTTGCCCAGACAAGGAGAGTTACCACTCTGTGAATCAATCAATGTGTGAATGTACAGCACACTTGTTCTTCCCCAAATCTGTGGGTGGGCACACACAGCAAGCTCCTCACATGGCTGGTGCAAACCTGCTCCCTGCTCTGCAAGGAGACAGCCATCTGACACTTCCCTCCTGCAGTGTGACTGCACTGGGATATTCCTGCTACGCTGTCAGGGAGATTCACACTAGCACTGACTGTGCACCAACCTCTCCTCTCAGGCAAGTGTTGAGTTTAAAACACAGAAATGTCTGCCTGGACATTTGTTCAGGGGCAGAACAGATGCCGTTTACAAAGACCTYACAAGTGAGGCCTTTGAAAAATGTGGTACTTTCTGAAGGAGCACCTACACAAGTTATAAGAGCTTTAAAAATTGCACATGAATTTGTCTGAGCCCACAATTTCCATGCAGGCAACTTCTCYGTGAAATTTCTGGAGCTGCACTGTGTTACCTTCATGCAAGTTAAGGAGAAAAAAAGTGCATAATGTACTCCTCTAACTTACTAATCACTGCTRCCTTAGCTGTGGAGAACTCTGCCTATCGTGCCCTGTGTGCTATTAAGGACTCTTGTGATATATACACACACGTAACTAGACTTGCAACATATAAAGGAGTCCACTTCAAAAATAGACTTAACCTATGCAAATAATGCATACAGCATGTCTTATATTTCAGAAACAAACTCCAAGCTGTAGTTGGTTTTAAATATCAAAAGGCACTMTAAATGCAGTTTTAATCAGAAATAATTTAAATCAAATTAATTTCAAAAATCATTTTTATGTGATCCAAAAAACCCCAAACTTGCAGTTTTAATTTAAAGTTTAAGAACTCCTGAAATACAAATTTAAAGAAACATTTTGAAGTTATTATCAGAGTAAGATGAGTTCCCAGCTTTTGTTTGTCATGAATGCTTAAAGATTAGCTTTGATAAATTTCTGACATACTTTCAAGTAAGTAAATATGTAAGCAAGTGCTTAAAGATTACAGTAATCAAGTTGTAGCCCTACTATAACTGGATAAAATATTACAGCTAACTTATTCGTACTTATCTATATAGGAAAATGGCACTCGAATTACCACCTTCACAGACACTTTGCAAGATAATCTAATTATTTCACTTAACTCAATGCAACAGGGACCAGGATTCACTGGTCTGGAGTTAGAGTTGTCAGCAGACTCAGGAAGAACACTGAGCACAAATGAATTCTCTGCCATCCTGAATAATTCTCAGGGCTAGAGGCTGCTGCACTTTCATAKCACAATTTTTTCAGGACATATATGAGTGCCTTTTTCAGAGGTACACAGGATGGCCAATGGCACTTGAAGGTCTATTAAAAAACCTGTATGTGTTAAGGGTTTAGTTGTTGGAAGGGGAAAGGGGCCAGGGGTCTGTTTAGAAACAAAGTTACTTATTTTTTTTTAAATGATCCACCTTCTACTCTGCTTTCCAGGTACTTGTCCAACTCTGCCTCTCTTTTCACCGCCTCTGGCGATACCTTTGGTGCATTCGGAAAACAGATCAATATCACACTCATGTTGTCTCGACTTCCCTGGTGGAAAAGAAAAAATTATTTGAGAAATGTACACACACCAGGCTAAACACATATCAAAGCATTTTAAACACAAAAATTCACAAATCATATGGTATCAGAATCCAACTTTCACTATTACGGATCAATAATATCATTAATCTTCCCATACCCCTTACAGAATTCCAGGCCCATTCATTTGGTAGAACTCTTAARTCACTGTGTTTTCCTCTTTTGTGGTCTGAAGACTACATGGAGCCAGTTACAGACAGCCCATTGTCTTCTAAAAACTGACATTAGTAATGAGTAAAGTGTAATTACARAGTTGTGCTCCATCTTGTTTTAAGTACCATCCAATCATCTGGGGAAAACAGCTGAATGAGAGAACAAAACCATCACTGCTTAAAAAGCACTAAGCAGGAAGGTGCTGAATTCAGACAGTGCTTCCACCTAAAATCACAGCTATTAGGTTTTTTTCCTTTTCCTTCTTGTTTAAAACAAGAAAAGTTACAAGCGAGAGAATTTATTGGAAGACCAGCTGGAGGGTACCCAGGCCTTTGCAAAAAACATTAACATTTAAAACTCCAACTAAAAAGAGCCCCAATAGTTGAATATGTTAAAATACAAACACATTCTCTTTACGCAAAGTAACTGTTAGGTTTACTTTGAATACTCCTGTGCTTTGGCCTACAAACATGCATCCATAGGCTTAACTTTTAACACTAAGTCCACTGATGTCAGCAAGATCAAGAACAAGTCAGTGTGCAGAAAAGAGTGTGTGGGTATGGGGAGGTGCTGACAGTTGGCTCCAGCAAAGCTTACAGCATCCTCAAGCCACTGTTCCTTTCCAAGTCATTGTTTTTAGGATTACCAAACAAAAATAGTAAACGAAAATATAACCATGATCAATGTGCCAAGGTGTTGGAAAGTAATTATAATTTTCCAGATGGGAAACAATGATCCTGTTAGCCATTTAGGAAAAGCAGAGACGTTGTYTTGTTTCTTAGAAAAAAAGTTGATTTTACACTGACTTCCAGTTTGCCTTTAAGTAAGTATCAAGCTATGAAACTCAGTAACTGCATCACAATGCAACTTTTTAATACAAAGTAGAAGTTAATGCAGACAAAGTTACATAGTTTTGTTAAACCAAATAGTCTCATCTTCTACTTTAGCTGGTTTCAGAGCAGTATCACACAATAGTGAGTAAGAAATGCAGTAATTAAACCAAAATGAAAACTAATTTAGGAAGCCACGTCTTCAAAATATGAAGGTTCATCGATTTTGCATTTATCTTGGTGTAAATATGACAGTAATGTTACTACTATGTGCCCAAGAAAGCAAAGGAAGATTAGGAAGGGGAAAAATACTCTCCAGCCTGACTAAGGTTCTGTAAAGTATATCATGAAACAGGAAAGGACAGTTATTATCTTTGGCTTGCCAAAAAATTCCCATTAATATCTACTTTTCCATTGATCACAATGTATCTGTACACGGTTATAAACTCTTAATTAACCAAAGCCACCCAGAAAAACATTGTTTCTGTTGTGTGTTCATYGCCCCTTTTATCACAATTTTTGTGGGAAGCATGGTCATCACTGTCAAAGTCATGTTAACATAAGTCACGTTAAAACAAGACTGGAATCAAACTTATTATTAACTTGTTCATAAACTTCTAATAGTGAAAACAYAGTAAACTCCTTCTCTTGAGTCTGGCTACCTTGTACAAGCAGGTGTCAACTATCTCATTGCAAACTTTCTCAAGGTCATCAGTGACTTCAAGTCTGGATCTTACAAAGTCACACAGCTCTTCATTTCCCATAACATCCCAGATACCGTCGCATGCCAGGATGATGAACTGATCATCTTCTTCTGATCTCTCAATTTCATAAACTTCAGGCTCGGGTGAGACCAGCTGTTCTGTAGGACCTTTCCCATGGACACATTTGTAATCAAAGTCCCCAAGTGCCCTTGAAACAGCAAGAGAGCCATTTACACGCTGAATCATTACGGAGCCACCTGCATTCTGTATACGCTCCTTCTCCAGCGGGTTACTTGGTTTGTGATCCTGTGTGAAGAAGTGAACCTTCCTGTTTCGACAGAGCAAACCTCTCGAGTCTCCACAGTTGATGAAGTACGTGTGTTGGGGAGAAATCATGACGCCCACAGCTGTTGACCCACTTCTGTCTGCGCCATGCTTCTTCTCGGAGATGACTCTCATGTGTTCATCAATTTGCAGAAAACCTGTTCTGATGCCGCTCTTTACACTTTCCACAGATGGTGGCCCATCTGGCCCTTTAAAATCCTGGTTGCTCGTGATGTGATCTAATAAATGCTCACAGCAGTACTTGGCAACCTGTGATCCAGCGTGCCCATCATAGACAGCAAAAAACGACCATCCATCAAGTCCATTTGGCAAACCAATCACAGCCGTGTGTGCATCCTCCATTTCCACACGCCAGCCTTGCATACTGCTCAGACCRTAACGCAGCCCGTTCCCCTGCCCCTGGGCATTATGCTTCTCCATCTTTGGCTTGTCTAAAAATGCTCCCATGATGACCTTCCTTCAGTTCTACAAAGGAAAAAAAAAAAAAGGATTATTAAGATATTTCTTAAACATCTCGTTTAAAAATCCAGTTGGAAGCTATTGAATAATAGCACAAATAATGTCAAGGTGACCAAAATACACAGCTGTAAAGCTGATTTTTCTGTGTCTCCAGTCAAATTTGCATTGCTTTCATCAAGGAAACAAGGACACTACTACTAGCTGAACTGCACTTTTCATATTTTTGTATTTTCAGCTGTTTTACTTGAAAAATTTATATTCACTGTCATTCATGGTTCGGACAAAAGCCTCTAATAGAACTATGTATGAAATCAGTTTCAATGAGGACTTGTTAACTGGCACACATCTGAATGGCTGTTCCCTGCAACCACTGAGCCATGAAAGAGCTCAATGTTTCCAGGACAGTGGCATTCCCTAGATCCCTACCTGCTGGCCACAAATTCCTGCTAACGCTGCTTTTCTCSTAGTGATGGGGAAATGAAAGCAAACTGATTAGGTTTTCTTTTAGAAAGGGCTTTTCGGGGTGCTTTAGTTTTTGGTTTTGTTCTTTTTTTTTTTTTTTTTTTTAACAGATAAATTATGTGAATGACCAAGAGGATGCCAGAGTCTGCATAAAGGAAAAAGCAACACTGGGTAAGCTAGGAACAAGACTGGGAAAGAACAGAGCAGCTGTCCCTTTAGGCAGCAGCAAGCCATTAGTTTGGCTCAGCCATCTTGTGAAAGCTCATCCTTAGATTTTCGGTTAAATTACGCAGCAGCTTCTCAGATGTCCGTGCTGCAGATTTACTTAAAACCCTCATGTATTCATGCTTCACTGAAAGACAACTGCCCCTGACAAGCCTGAGGAAATCTGTTTGGAAATAAAATCACACATACTGTGAATTCCTGTGTGAATCAAGAATCAAGCCAGACCCATACGCTGCACACCCTCGCCTTCTTGGGATGTGATGCAGCAAATATTCACGCTTAAGAGAATAAGAGTTATATTTGCAGGCAGTGTAAACTGACTGGTTTATCTTCATGGCTTTCACACCCTAACCATCCAACCCACCCTTCTAATCCACATTGGTTTATTTGTGCATTCATTATTAAAAAATCATACAAAATAGGTCACACATTTTACATACTTGCAAATTATGCCTTGGGAAGCAACAAAGGGTCTGCAAATCACTGTTATACAATACAGGGTAATGGAACAAAACAATGAGCTATTCTATTTGAAGAYTGTGGCCAAAAATTAGCTGTGAAAAGAACCTCAGAAACAGATTTTACCTGAGGCCCCAACTAAGCAACTGCACTGGCAGAAAAATCAGTACACCAGGGGTTTAAGAAATGTTTAACTTGACCATGGAATATATTTGACCAGTTTTTTAAGTGACAACATCACGTTTTGATAAGAAGCTTTTATTGCAACACAGCATCAGCCATTAGTGACACCATATAGCCAACAAAGCTCTTCACACTGTCTCTTCCAGCTACTATCAACCTTTCTAAAACATCTGTGTTAGAATAAACAGTCAAGAAATGTTTATATTTGATCTCACCACAACAGTGATTCAAATGTGAGGCATGGGGACTGGTTATGCACTCTTTGGCTCACATGCTTTGTTAATAAAAACAAAACACATACTTCAGCTGTATGGGGATGGCAGCAGCAATTCACCTCTGCTTCCTCTCACCCCAAACCCCGCTCTGGAGCTCTGTCTCTTCTCAAGTGAACACAAAATATTGATGCCCAAGCAAGCTGTAACTAACCAACAAAACAGAGTGCTCACGGTGTGTGTCTTTCATCCCAAGCACATGCAGGAGGTTCACGTTACTGCAGTTGCTAGGAAAAAAATATGACTTAAGACTTTATTATCTTCACATGTAACTCTAGTGAAGTCAGAGTGATCAAAATAATTACAGAATGCTGCTATAAATCATATGGGGAATTATTTTGCYGAAATAATACTTTTTATTCATTCTATGATAGCAGTAGAGTTTAACACTGAATGTTCTCTTGTTGAGAAAATCATTAAACAAAATGCAAATATTCAACTTTTTCACCTTAATTTAGAGCTCAAAAAGCAGCAACTGCCCTGGCAAATATATTTTTGTGAGGTATTTGACATTACTGCCCTGCTTAAAATAAAACAGAAAAACTTTAAGAACAGGATACAGTTACAATGACCACAAGCACTGTCAAAATCTGGACTAAAAAGCACCATTTTTCTTCTTATCTCTCCCTTTACCATACGCACAACATTCAGCATCGTGCTTTGTAAACTGTTTGTCCTGCTCAGTAGTTTACCACGTAAATCAGAAATACATACAGGCAGTCTATGTGAAGCCCTAACAACAACTACAGGACTGCAAAGTTAACAAATCACTCTCCATTTAAATACCAAATTGCCTTATCCCTCCCCAGAAGGCAACCTGAAAGCTGGTGGTYTTTTAAGATAAGCTTTGTAGGTGAGATGCCCCAGCATTCTTCAGAGGTGAGAACTGCCCACCATGGATGGGAACACAACCAGGCAGAAGGAAAACCACAATGTGGCCATGGAACAACTCCTTCAGAAATTATCCACAGCCCATAGCATGAAGTGACCACCTTCAGAAAACTGCAACAACAGACTGCAGTTCTCTTCCCTGCCACACTTGAGCTACTCAGTCCTCCACCAGAACAGCAGTATAAACATGCAGGAGAATAGGCCAGGTTTTCAAAGTCCTCATTGCATCTGCAGGAAAAGCATCATGTACTGGTGGATAGGATGAATGGGCCAGACCTTTAGTTTTTTTCCAGAATTTCAATTCTCACTCAGAAAAATTTCAGTTAAATATGATCAATCTGTGAATTCAGATGAATTGGAAGCTACCTGTTACTTCTCTGCCCATAACCTTAATGTGTAGTTAGAACCGAAGAATTTCAAGAGTCTTAGCTAAGGAAAAATAAAATATTCTTAGTTTTAAAAGAAGGGACAGACATGGAGAAAAGCTGACATAAGAAAGCCATACTTCCTTTCTACTAGAAATACCTTTCAGRCCTGTTTTTGAGTCCAAATCTACAGAAACATCTTTCACACAYCAGTGTCTACCTCAATTATGAGCACATTTGTCATTCTTTGATGARGTGCTTTGTGCACTACAGTGATTTGAGTTGGAATGACACCTTTGGTTAAGCATTCAACCCTGTATGCAAACCTGATTAACCTATAGCAGTGCAAGAGCCCAAGTTACAGCACGACTTTGTTATGTAAAAAGACAGACCCAGAACAGAATGCATGCAATGGAGCAATATGTAAAACAGATCCTGTACATGGCTTAACTCAGCCTCTCTTTATGTCTTTAGTCATCTGTCTTAAGAGGAGTCCTCATTTTACGACCTTTATTCTCCAAATAATTTTACTTCCCTGTCTTAACCCAGTCATACATTTCTACAATCGTGTTAGAAAACTGCAGTCTCATGGCAGGAGACAGAACTAATCCTCTACYCTGGAATCCTCAACTTTTGGGATGTTTGAATGATGCACATATGTACTAAAGGAGACAGACAKTCTTCCTCTTCCTATTAAAGGCAAAATAAGAGAAAAAGCACTTTAATCATGAAGCTTAGTGGCAAACATACACCACTGACTGGGTTTTTTTTACCTTAGAGAAGAACCATTCTGAACAGTACTGTAAGGGTGGTGCCTTGTAAAAGGACCAGAGGTAAAACATTTTCTTCAGAAATGGTGACTCTCACACATTATCTGGTGCTGCAACTGCACAACTGTCTGCCAAGCAAACTTCAATTTTCATCTACAAAGATTCTTGGATCACCATTTCTACAGCAGTGACTTCCATTAGTTTTAGGTCCTAAAACAGAAGAGCTTTCTGCAGTCAAAGTTACTGGATTTTGGCTCTGAAGAACAGAAGCATCTGAACAAAACTAGACATGAAAATGGACCCCTGTGAACAGAAATGAATGCAAAGGGGATGCATCTATGTATCTGCAAGTCATTTTAACCACAATTTCTGAAGCACTGATTTTGTGGAGGTCAAACTGAAGGACAGCCTCTCCAGCAAGTGCACRGAAAACTCAAGTTGCAGTTTGCAGACAGTAAAGTAAGAATACTGTACAGGGCCTAGAAAAATCAACACAAATAACAAGATCTTGGATAAAACACAAGAGTACCAAAATCCAAAGGACTGCAGCATTAGAAACAAAACTGAAATAATGAATGGAGCATGCCAAAGAGTCAGTAGCTAAACTCCTTGAAAGTAGATGCAACTGGAGAACAGAGTGGCAAAGAAAAGAAGGGTAATTAGTATACCAGGCCATGGACAACCATGGACAACCACAGATACATCGCTGGAATGCATGAAATCTCTTTGCCCCTTCATTTGTTCCTCAAATTGTGCTATCCAGGCAGCACAACTGTAATGCTTTCTGCTACAGAGGAAGATAAATTYTACCATTTTGCTATTTGCTTGTTCATTTGCCTGAAGGTTCAAATTGAGATAAGCCCTAAATTGTTCACAAAAGACAGTCTCTGCAACTCCACATACCCCTACAGAAATACCATTTTTTTTTCCAGGGTATTTGGACAAAGATCGATCGTTTTGTCCAAGAAAACTAACCACCCCCATCTGAAACTTTTACTTGAACAATATGTAAATTAATAATCCTTTTAAAACAATGTTCAAGTTGTATTTCTTCCACTCAGATAAGCTGCTTATATGAACCACACTGAAGTCACAGGCACTTGTTCTAACTAAGCTGAGAAATATCTCCACACTCTGATTTCCTGGAACAATTCTCTCAACGACATTACACTTTGTGTGCTGTAATGAGGACYATACAGAAAGATTACAACCTTTACTTGAACTACAGGACACAGAGCAAGTCACCAAGTTATACAGACTGCTGCTGACTAGAAAAAGGGCATTTGTTCACTTCAGCTCCAGCCTGATCTGCAGTACTTTTCCCCCCTTCTTTAAGCAGGCTGAATGCAGTAGCCAGACAGCATGTAATTGTGCAAACG